ATTGCGCTATATGAAAGTTAATGATTTTTTGAAATATGATGCTGGCGTTGTACATATGAAACAGCAAACAAGAAGCAAAATAACGATCTCGGACCATGGACTAATAAAAAAAACGCAGATGTGTGAAACATGCAGGTACAATAAAATTGTTGGTCGTATAAATAAAAATACTATGTCGATGTAGGGATGTGTACAGCTTTATATATATGAAACTCAATATATCAACTTAAAATCGGGGTGTAACAAATATCTATGTTTTTGTTACAACTGAGAACACGATCTCCTAAAGAGATGAAAACTGGCGTAAAAAAACAAATTGCCGGAAAGTCGATACTAAAATAAACGAATGAATTTTGACCTTGCTTTTGATCGAAGATTAGGACGGGCGAAGAAGTCATTTTGTAATTAGAGGGACCCAGTTGTAAATAGCTGAGGTAATTTTGTTTTGCATACTTTGATTAGGCTTGGGCAATAGACGATTCCATTTTGAATCCATATTTGGTTGAAATACAATGGCGAAAATGTAAGTACGGGCCACCTATATATTTGTTGTAAATATGAAGGATGCTTTATATAATCGCCTAATAGGCGATACAAGACCAAATGGGAAATCGGTGATAGTATGTCGGATACATCACGATATCTGTCTGTTTCGTCAATGGCAAAAACTGTGAAACACGCACGTTACAATAAACATTGATTGTGAATTGATTTATACTTTCCGCCGTCTGTTCACTTGCATGTCATCAAGGTTCATGGCACCAGCAAAGCGACTGACAAGGACAAACGAAATTAGACAAGATATTGAAAAATTACGGACCAATAGAATTCTCAAGAGTGAAAAGGACGAGTATTCAGCTTTCAAAAATGAGTCAATGGTTAATCTTGAATAGTTGCGATAAAATACCCAAACATTTGTTTATTTTTCAATATAGAATCATTGTGTTCGTTCGGTTTATTAGATACAAACACTCGCATCGAAATGCGCACGAAGACAAATATTCTGACTCACAAATGACATATTAAGTAGGAAATAGGACAAGCAGTAAATTTATACGAGAGATTATTTTCATTTCCAATCTTTGTTTCCACTCGGTAATATCTAGAGCATGGCATAAATTTATATACGCCTTTATGAATGGTTTGGTTGAGGCACTGTAGATAATACGAATAAAGTGAGCAATAAAAAAGATTATTTTATACTGGACTCGAAATTAGGTCATCCACATGAAGGAAAAACGAATCGTAACTGTGAGCTGCCTCACTTGGTCAAGCCAGTGAGGTATTTTTTAAAGTTATCCAATATATTAAATAACACGGAACCATATTGACCGTCTGTATAATTGTTGCATAAAAAGGTTACCTTAAAAAAAGATTAGCAACAAAATGTTCGGCAAATGTTTGAATTAGAGCAAATTGATAGACATCGATAAGAGACCTACCGGAATTGGTAATTCGACAAACGAATATACACAAATTATCAGGCATGAATTTGAAAGGTGAAACACTTGAAGATCTTTCATAGTTTTTTACAAACCTGGAAACTCTTATTGGTTTTGAACGCGTGTTCCTGTTGCATGTACACCGTGGGTAGGGTCAGAATCAAAATAGAATTCGTTCATTTCAATATAATCCATTTTCCTTACATTTAATTTGCATAATGGGATATTACACGACAAAACACACTCGCGGGAGTTGAGAGGATGTCATCGAATTTGCACACAGCAGATGCCGCGCAAATTAAGCATAATGGTTTTTCTTTCGCAGATGCGCAATCTCTCGTTTCAAATATGACGATTTGCTATTAGTCTGATTTAGAAAGTAGGTCGTTCAGGATTTCTGCCAGCTTAACGTTATATTTTATTCACAGTTTTATTTATTTATGTGCGACTTGAGGTGTGGCGACTCGAAGATATATACACACGTTCAATTTAATTGATATGATAATTATATTTGATAAAATGTGCGCCATTGTCTCAATTACTGTTGCGCGACCACGTGTGTAAAGTGTTGGTGCATATATGTATTGCCGGTATACAACAGTACAATTAATAGCCTGACAATCTGTTTTCTTATTGTGTATCTCGTTTGAAGTTTTTTCTTATTTTGTATACAACAAATGTAAAAAATTTAGGAAATACTTTCAAATGCTTAAAATTAGATTGAGGTGTTAGCTAAGACAGAAAGACTTTAATTTCTCCTACGTGCATAATTTTGATACCTGTATCGTATATAAGTATACAGCATAACGATTCAAAGGCAGCCTAAACTAAACAATGTTATTGGTCGTATGTCAAAGTGAAATTATACATTACTTTCTTGTTAAAACAGACATGAGTTTCATTTGGCAGGAAAACTTTGTTTTATAAACCATTGGTCACAAAAGCCTAATCAACTATGGTAAATTCGGCTTATGATAATTTAATATTTTTTTGTCGCCCAGCGCTTCCATGGGTCGTCAGAGGGCTTTGAATGGAGAGATCTGTTTTTCGACTAGATAGCTTTACCGATAGCAACGGAATGCGCATTTCAACATAGCAAGCATTTCAATATGACGCGGCTAGTAGTAATTATTGTCAAGATTGTCAATAAAGCAACGCTAATATAATTTGATGATAATGTATGTATTTCCATTTTATTTCACCATGGCGATGTTTTTTCACGTTATTTAGGACATTCTATATAGATAATATAACCACTGAGCATCTGTTCAAATTTTCATGTTAGATGTGTTTAATGACGCTCATATCCGAATCCCGAGCTTCGTTTTTTCAGATTTTCTTCTCGTGTTTTTATTTTGATGATATTGATTATTTTAATTTGAATTTACTATGTAAAAATTTACATAAACAGTGATTTCACAAATCCTATAATGCCAAATTTACAAAAAATAGTCTTCATCTGTTTTCTTAAACTTATTCGGGTAGAGTTTATTTCAAATACTTTGTTTTATTGTTTTTGTCATCACTAGGGGTAGATTGTTATATCGCGAACTTTAAAATTGGTTTTCGATAGTGCAATCAAAGTACAGCAAGTCTTTATTGATTTTAAATTGCAACTTAAGTAAATTTAGTCGGTCTCAAGTGAACGAAAGTGCTGCTGTGTGATTGGATCATTCCAAAGACTGATAAAATTATGGACTATTTTTAGTTTCAAAGGTCACTTTTACAAATTAGCGTTCATTGTTCAATTAATTCAAGGTTAGTGCGATACAAACTTGAGGCGGAACGACTTCTATTAACGAAATTCCACGTAGTAATGCAACCCGAACTGATTTTAGAAAGACACGCGTCGCAATGATTTCATTCTCTTCTCCGCTTAGCTTATGATAGATTAAGAATTTGCGATGTAAAAGCTATGAATAAATGGCTCATTGGAATTAAATTCAATCTAGGCCCAGGTTAAATACTTTCGCTCTTTTCCTTTCACTCCAAATCTGCGAAAGTCTTAATTATTCACTTCAAATCCCGGTAGGTCCGAGATATACAGACGAAATGAATATCGGCTTATGCGTTGTTCGCGCCTTCACTGTGTTTCCCGCTATGCTAAATTCGCACAATTCAGAGACGTGCGACGTTGGCGAAAAAATTACCACAAAGGGGGAGGATTTAAAGAATATTAATAAAGGATCGCACAGCAGTATTACAAATTCTGAAGACCGGTAAACATCATCTGTCAGAGCGATTTTTGAGGTAGACGAAAAGGGAGTGAGTGCGTCGAAGACAGCCTGCGATATGATTTAATGATGTCTAGAGCTGAAATTGGCAATACTAATGCACATTCTGAATAAACAAGGATCGCTATACAGTTCATCGGCTGTGGATATTTAGTTGTTATCAGTCGTTCAGTCATACTGTTACGAAATGTGATGCATTGTGAGATCGGTTAAGGCTTTTTAGCAATACACCGACATCGATAAGACTTAGCACTTTGTCTCTCCATAGTCCTGTAGTCAGTTTATAAAAGAGCCATCGGTGGAAATAAGTGGGGCTAATTTTGTCGATATTGGAGGTTGAAGATTTTAGATTCTGACAGTTGTCATTTCCTTCCAACTTCATTAATTTTATAAATTGTGAGGAATTGATTGGATTTGTCAAGTTTGTTTCGATAACATGCGAAATTTCGATCCCATAAGTGCAGTTTACAGCGAAATATATATGAAAAAGTTCAGACAAGAAATTACAATAACAAAAATCAACATCACATGTAAGGCCCTCAAGTTTATATAATGACAAAATAGAATTCTATCTCGTAACTGTTACAGTGTTGTTCTAACGGTGACTTGTTGTTTCAATATGCCTGTTGAAATGCTTAAATAATCGCGGTCTCGTCCCTCTTATCCATACGCTATAAATACACATGGTGATAATTCAGTTAATCATTTGTATTTGCTAAAGGAAAGAATTATTGCTGATTTGGAGGCGCTTTCGCATCAGTGATGTGAGTCGATCGGGATTTACAGGCGCAGGTCGAGTTCAGTGTTGTTTCAAAATGTTTAAATCTCAAACTTACGTCAATATTCTATGTCATCATTCTGTAAAAGCGATTGTCATGCGCGAGTATTATCACTGTGAGTACTTCTCATTTGAGTACTTCTCAACGTACTTTGAGACCCGCATCTGGGCTTCAGGAAGATTATTCATTCAGTTGAGGTCGGGTTGTATTCACGCCTAAAGAAGTGATTTCGCTTTCATTTGTTTCATTTTGTGATGGACAAAATTGTAACTTATAAAATCTATATTACTCGGGCGGATAATATCATCATCGAACATGCTTGGTCCAACAAAAAATGAATTGAACGCAAACTAATTTTGCCAACGGGCAAAATCATGCCAGATGTTCAGCGATAAACAATGCGGGAATTCATTAGATTAATTATTCATTGTTGTCGGAGAAAACAACTAACAAGATTTCCGTCGTCCACGTCCAATAGTTCAATGGTAGACAATGCATGCACTACTTTTACCGGACGTTCTCTAAAATCACTAAATATAATTTTTTTCATTTATTATATTGTTCAGATTTCATACCACTACTTTGAGTACATGATTAATAACTTCAAAAAGTAAGGGCTTCATAAAACGAAAAATATATTTAGTTTGATTGCGGGATTGGAGTAAGGTATTAACGATGTCTTCCTGTACTACATTCTCTTGCTACCTGCAAAGTTTAAAAACGTCAGCAGAACTTGAGGGAAAATTAGACGGTAACGAAAGCATGGACATATCTAATGAAGAATTTGCTGAAAGGATGCGCCAAGCATCTGAAGATAAACTCAAAAGTTTGAACTCTAACACTTCGAACAACTTCCGGGTGATATTTCCCGTTATTCTTGTCATATCTATATTAGTTGTAATTGCCGTGGGATTTTTGATACACCGCCTTATCTCATCATTTGTTTGGAATAATTGGGCGATGCCTCCTGAATCCCAAGAACAAGACTGCCCGCGATCAGGGAGGTTTAGACGAAGAGGGAGAGGGGTTGTTAGAACCATCAGTTCTTACGTTGATGTGCCACCTAGTTATCGTCAAGTTATGAAAACGAAAAAGTCAGAAATGCTACCTCCAACGTATCAAGAAGTGAGTATTGAAATTGGCGTTTTTAGAGTCGGAGAAAAGTGTCACATGACTCTTATTCTCCCACATTATCGAATCCAAATCCATGCCGCGTTTCAAAAACTTGTATTTAATATTTCCAGCTACCGGGGTGAAAAGATTTCCACTACGGATATATTGTGAACTTCTGTGTATCTTAGCAATAAACTACGTGACGGATTGTCAGTATATGAGATACTTTATCATGAATTTAGCATTATGTAATGTTTCTTTTAACACATTTTTGTGCCTTCTTATGGATGACATTTGATTAACTATGTAAAAATTTGCATTTCAGGTAATGACTGGAGCTGTTAACTGCGCCTATGTTTCGGACGAAGATTCTGTAACAACATTAGGAAGGTATCAAATCAACATAGACGACGGTGATGCTGGTGAAAAAGGCAATACGAATTCTTTGGTTCATTCTCGAACACATCCAAAGACAATAAACGACGTTCATAATATTTTAGTACACACTGCTGAAATATTTTCACCTCCAACTCCAAATAACGAAGTTACTAGTTCGGACGAGCAGCCTCGAGATAACCCGCTGACTGGGTCTGACGAATCTGTGGAAAGTTTGTCTTCTGGTGTTACTGTTGTTACTATTGCTGACATCAATATTAGATATTCAGATGATGATGTAATAAGTTCTGAAAACAGTGAAACAGACAGTCAAAGTGACATCAGTGAAACAATATGTTCAGCTGTATAAACTCTGTTAAATGCACGAAGTTGTTCATTTTGAACGGACAATGATATCGTGGCAATGAAGAAAACCCATCCGCCGCACGTTCCCGACTCACAGTAATACACTCGGCGAAAGTACACACTATTTTTTTTTAGTATCCGTAAGCGGGTATTGCCATACCGAATAGCGTCTTCGGGCTAAGTTCATATCCAAGTTAAGTCACCCGATCAGAGTACTTGAGTGCTATATTCAGTTATGTTTTTTATGCTTATTGTGATCTTCTTCCAAATTGAGCCGCATTTTAATCTTTATTCAATCCATGTTTCTCTTTATGTATATGCAAGAAATGATAATGGCTACAAGGCTCAAGAGGCAGGTTGTTTTCTTCACGCCACAAGCTTTCAGATTAGCATTCAAGAAGTCTCATCTTATACTTTTGTTATAAAATTATCATATGAAGATATAAGTAAATTATTGCGTTGGCGAATTGTATTTATACCAGTAGCCTTATTATTTCAATTCGTTAATGAGGATCTACAGACTCTAGTAAAAAATGGGCGTTTACTTAGCTAACATACGAACAAAATAATTGATTTCACTATAGGAACTAGCGTAAATATCTTGATTAAATATTAAGTATTAGTTGAATCATGTACCATAAAACATGAATGGTGGTCACTGCCGATTTCTCACCTACTCGTGCCGTAAAACGCATTGCACTAATGCGCCTTTTATTCTTTCGGCACCGGAAAGCGTACATTTTTGTTGATAACAAAACTCGATATGCACTGTATTTATGTATTTGTACCTCAATTTTGCGCCCTCCAAGTGCGATTTAATAGTCGTTTCATTGTACTTTTTACGCACTGAAAACAATTTTTGTTTGAAAATACCTTGTGTTTCCATATATATATATGTGGGGATGGTGGTATATAATTAGTTGAAAGGCGTCATGCCCAAAGAAATATGCGTATAGCGGGTGTATGAATCGTTCAATGATTCTTGGATTTCAGAGTTCAAACGTTCCGGGTGTACTCATGAATGCCACGGAAAGCCTGCAACAGGCATTTCTAATCAAAATATTAACATCACAGAATAGGGTGGAGCGTCGTCAATACGCCATCCGAAGGTTGTCAGCCTGTGAAATTACTAATTCAATTGGTAAGCATTAGGAAGATGTAAAGAAATAATTACTATTGGAACTGATTACGAAAATTTGACAATTTCCACTATTTTATTGCAAGAGCGTGTAATTCAAAGCCATTCAACAAGTGTGCATTCTGCCGCAGTTATATTAACATATCGACATTTTAGGGAAGTAGTAGCGAACGCTTTGAATTCACAATATTTCTAGCTGTGCTGAATGCACACTCTGATGCTGGTAGCAGGCACACGCATATATTTTTGCGGCATTTGCGCTCTTGAACCGTTGTGACGTAACCATCCCAAATTTTACCTTATCACGTCAAACGTCACGCTACGGTTAACCGGTTAATTTTATCCGTTCAACGGTTAAAGTGTTTTCACTGAAATTCCCAGCCCTACTAATCAGCATGTCGTTAAATGCACGAACTCGGCGAAAATGAGAAGCCTCATATGCAACCAGTATTTATGCGGGAGCCCAGCAAATAATTCGACTTGCACAAAACAGTATCCAACGTTTCCCGACTCAAAGATTCTGTGTAATATGATAATATCACTTTCTCAACCGCGAAGACTCAATCTGACGATATATTTTCATTTTTTCTATTTTCTATATCTCAAGACAAAATAAAAGCAAATAGTAAAAAAATTAAATCCCGATTGCATAATCAAATTACAAAGTATATAATCACAGCGATTCAAACAAGCAAAATGCACCTCAACGAAAACAATTCAGGAAAGGAATTCGTACGTCCATTTCGTGTCCAACGCTTAGGGAACCCAAAATTGTGACAAAATCTAAGAAAGGTTACATCTGCTGGGCGTTGTAAACAAAAAAGAAAATATGTTCAATGCATGAAAATACAGTGTGCGTTGATAGATATTGGAGATGTTTCTGGCGCAACAAAAATAAAATACCATGAAGATACGGTTTTTAATAATTTAATAAAAATGGAGATCGCAGTGTCGCTTCATTAAATTCGTCACAAATACCGTACAATCACTAGAAATAAAGAAACTGAATAATATATTTAGCTTTTGGTAGTTGCTTTCACGTATGGGAAATTTGCACTTCAACGATAAATTTAGAAATTAAAGTTATGAGCTATGAATAAAGTGATGACATACATCTGTTCTAAATTGTTCAAAGGTTCGCTGTATACTTTCAGTTAGTGTGCAACAATACTGTTGAATAACTCGAAACAATCAACATAGGTATTTAAACAGCAATGTACAATGGTCATTTGAAACCCAGCTCACTCGGAAAAATAAAAGTGACTTGAACAAATCAATTTTATTCCCACGACAAAACAATTGTAACATTAGCTCGAATGATAGATATGGTCAACCAGTGCATGATTTTTGCATTTTTTGTGTTTCATTGTGAGTTTTTTTATTGGGAAAAATTTTTTTTTTTGTCCTTTTTAATATTTTTAACACGACAGATATGATCAAGTTTTTAAAACTGGAACCTTTTTCACTCGTTTTACGTATTTCCTACTGGAGCATTAAGCGACTTTTCAATAAAGGCGTAATTACATGAGAAGTTTTTGTATATATACGTTTATTAAAATTTGAATGAACGTGGTGCTGCAATCATAGTTTGTATCATCGCTCTGAAAGAGAAAAGACATGATCGCATCACCACGTCCATTGAAGTTTTAATAAACGTATATCCAAAAACTTGACATGTCATTACGCCTTTATTAAAAAGTCGCTTAGTGCTCAAGTAGGAAAGACTTGAAACGAGTAAAAAACGTGTCACAGTTTCTAGAAAATTGATCATACTTGTCATGTTAAAAATATTGAAAAGGGCTAAAAAATTTCATTTCAATAAAAAAGCTTACGTTCACTAGGGAACCGAAAAACTACGGAAAATGAAAATTTATGCTTTAGTGACCATATCCTCCATTCGAGCTAATGTTTTTTTTTTTTTTTTTTCTGCCACTTCTAGGTTTACTTATTTCGGAAAAAGGAGCACAGACGTCGTGCGGTTCCTTGCACTAGTCGAAAATAATACTAGTTAACCAGATAATTGTTCCATACGTGGATATGATAAGCCTTTTCTTATTAAAAGCATATTTTGATATGATTTTATGATTATGAATCTGTCCTATGGGCAATGTCGTAAAATAAAATGTTTTTATGTCTCTAAAACTTGTTTGAGAAAGCATCTATGGTGCTACATTTCATTGCATGGGATGTGAATTAGATACGAAACATTGTAAAACGACGGTCGTTTCAGGAATTGACTTATTAGGGAAAGTATAAAGAGCAAAATCTATAAATGATAAGATTTATGTACTATCAGACACTTTTTAGTTATTGTTACTAGATAAACAATGTAGCCATATATACCTCTATACCATATATATATATACTCGTATGTTGTCCGATTTCAGAAAAGTGCCTGTATGGGCAGAGAAACGGCTGATAACTAAATAAAATCATGTTTTCATCAGTCGTGCATTATTGTTTAAATAAATAAGTGGATATCTATGTCAACTATTCAGTATAAGAATAGTTAACTATTGATTGTTCCATGTATGAATATGGATCCACAAAAACAAATGACGGAACAATAGGGATATAGGTTAAAGTTAGTTGAAGTAAATTAATATTTTTCAGCGGTCATAAGTGCTATTGTTTATCTTAAAAAGTACAAAACAAAAAACCCATACATGGGATTGGTAATTCGCACAACTGAGGTGAATTACATCAACAGAAGGCAATGCATATTGCTCAGAAAGTACAGTCATGACAGGTAAGAAACATAGAATATAAGTTTGACAAGTTTACAGGCAATAATAAACGGGTATATTGTCTACTTCTATCTATTAAATGCATTTGATATCAAGAGGCAAGGTAAAACAATGCACAATGTTTTGTTCTTGCTATCAAATATATTCCATAAAGTCATAAACAAATGTGCGGCCGTTATCAATATCATTTATTTCTTACCAGTAATGCATGTACTTAATATAAAACACTGGCTATAATGAATATTACAGTGAACCATACAACAAAACATCATGAGAGTACATTGGTTTTGTATACAAGATATTTCCGCATGTCGATAGAAGGAGTGAACTTGATGTTGTTTATTGGTTTGATGCTGTCAGTTTTGTAGCCATATGTAATACGAAGATTCTGTGGAATTAACAATAGAGTGATTACTGTAAAGACTTACAGCAACTTAGTGGGTTGTTATTAACTTTTATTTGCGTTCATACAGAATAAACAAACGCAAAAATTTATTTTCTGCAGTCGTTCGCAGTCTTTAGATCACGGTTCACTATACATACCTCTATGCTTGGAAGTTTATATCTGCTTGCATTCTAGAATTTTTAAATATATATATTCTGCAGGAAATTATTTTCAACCAATTTTGAATAACATCAATTTCAATTATATTTAAAATCTTTAGACAATACTAGAGTCGATAATGCTCGGATTTACATGATATTTAAATTCAGTCACTTTGTTAATCGTGAATTTCGGTAAGTTTTCTATACTAACTGATCATACGTGAGTCAAGGAACAACAACATCGACAAAAACCAACTTAAAAAAAAAAACCGAGGAAAAAATTTCGAAAGCCCAAGATTAGAGCATGAAATTCTATATCTACATATAAATTTCACTTACTTTGTTGCCAGTATGATCCAATGTTGTTTGCAACAAATCCAAGCAACCTTCAGACATGCGGGAGAAGCATACAGTTAACTCTTTTTTAACTTTTGGAACAAGTTTGCAGACAACTTTAATATACTCAGTGTCCACATATCGCTTTGAATCACTGATATTTAGAGTCTTCAACTAGAAGAAAACAAAAAATCGAATGAATATAAAATATCGATACCTACACAGCTTTGTGGGATAGGTTTGTCAAATTTATACTGGGGTAGAGAAAAAGATAGTTCAATCACCGACTAACTACTACAGCATCTGATTAAAATATTCCAAAGCAGCAATTGATTGATGAGGTAATACGAGTGGAGAAACCTATGACAGGCCAGCAGCACCTTAAACCACCTCCAGAGCCCACACGTACATGCAGAATAAAAATTATTTTGTAGGGACAGTTTCTGAAAGCTAAGTACAATACAATCCATCATTATAACAAATGTAAAATAAACGCAGCGATGCATCGATCGCACAGAAGTGTAATTCGCAAATTGACCGAGAGTAAATAATATTCGATCTTCTGTTTTGCATTCGGTTTAGTAAGGTCAAAAGTCACCGGAGTATTAATCCAAATATGAAACCAGGGAAAGACAAAAATGGTTAAATGGTGGCATAACTCTGGCCAGATATACCATAGGATCGCATTTTGTGCAGTATTCCGGTGTGTCAAACTGTATCACAAGTCTCCAAAATATCCAGTGTAATCGATTTAGCGTTGCCACATCAATCTGATAAGCACTGCTTTTTACTAATCGATCTTTAGATCGGTAAGTATGTTGATAGGTATTTGTCTGTTTGATGCACGCGATATCTCACGAAGGCGTGGTTGAATCTGCTCCAAATTTTGCACGTGCATTCATCATATCTCGGACCAGAAACCTATTGATTTTGGATGAATTATTTCGTATAATTGACAAGTTATTAATTAATTAGTGATGGGACATGCGGCGTCACTATAGAGTCATGAATCAAAACCGCAGTTTCGATCGATAAGTCTTCGGTCTCCGACCGATATTCTCGTTTGTTTTTTGTCTGTCTGTTAGATACACGCGATATCTCACGAAAGCGAGGTTGGATCTGCTTCAAATTTTGCATGTGCATTCATCATATCTCGGATCAGACGCCTATTGATTTTGGATGAATTAAGTCATATAATTAGCGAGTTATTAATTACTGAGTGATGGGACACACTGTGTCACTATGGAGTAAGAGCGCAAAAGATCGCAAAACCTTTTTCATTGCGCAATTTCAGCTTCGGTCTTTAGTATTTACAATTTTACAGAAAGTTTAGAAACAGTATTCCTAGTACCGTACTGTAATCCGCCAACAAATTTCATCTCCGAGTGATAACTATTGACCACTGCCTCTGCATTTCCTCTTACTTGCTTGAAGGTTGATCAATACAACACCTTTAATTCAGATGGAAGATGTAGAAGAACTCACCGAGTCTTTTGGAATTGGAATTTTTCTGCTGTATGTCATTTATTATACTCTACACATGGTATGAAAACGACGAGGGGGCAAACGCCAAGATCTCCAACACAAGATATGCACATAGCTTCAAAACACTGACAACTACCGATGGCTTATCACATCAAGTAGCATTTCACCAATATTTTTGTATTGGCATATGTACACCACAACAAAAATCTTACCATACCTTGAGAGGTTCAGCAGTCATCATGTACCTTCATCCGAAGTCTGGGTGGTCATTGATGATTCCCATTTAGCAACTATTATGGTCGGTACCACTTTCAATGTCAGGTCTAGCTCACACAGTGATCTCAAAATTACTTTGAATTTCAAAGAAGAAATTCACTGGAGATTGACAGAACAGTCGTATCAGCGCTGGTTGCAATGTAACATAGTATACCAAGTAGTCTATGGTGCTATGCCAGGTAGTCTGTAGTGCTATGCCAAGTTAGCATCGAACTGAATTCAGCCCGGAATTTACCACCATTAGACTCAAGCAACTGATATGTTGCTTGCATGACTGTCAGTAGTACCAACCATTTCTATCCTGCTGCCAGAACAGCTTTGATACACCTAATATGCTAGGTCAATTGCTTTTGACATATGACCCTGCAGTTGGCGTGGCAGTCGCTATGGCATCAATATTTGTGGAGCACCTTGCAGGTGCCACCACTGCCATGTCAATTCCACAGTACAGTCACAGATGTATTAGCCAGATTCTTCCTATGAAAGTAGTTCATCATAAATAGTGTGCACATTGAAGACTACCAGTTGTTATTCTTCAAAAACAAAAAATATGTCATTTTCGGTTCAATTCTGAATAAAATTTAAATATACCTGAGAAGAACCAAGTTCGTCCACGAAAGAATTCAGTTGTCTTGTGTTGAACATGCATTCACTCATATCGAGATTGACAATAGGACAAATAGTATTCCTAGTACCGTACTGTAATCCGCCACTAAATTCCATCTCCGAGTGATAAATATTGACCATTGCCTCTGCATTTCCTCTCACTTGCTTGAAAACACCTTTGATTCAGACGGAGGATGTAGAAGAACTCACTGAGTCTTTTGGAATTGGAATCTTTTTGCTGTACGTCATTTATTATACTCTACACATGGTATGACGATGACGAGGGGGTAAACGCCAAGATCTCTAACACAAGATATGCACATAGCTCCAAAACACTGACAACTACCAGTGAGTTATCGCATCAAGTAGCACTTCACCAATATTTTTGCATTGGCATATGTACATCACAATAAAAATCTTACCATACTTTGAGAGGTTAAGCAGTCATCATGTACCTTTATCCGAAGTCTGAGTGGTCATTGATGATTCCCATTTAGCAACTATTATGGTCGGTACCACTTTCAATGACAGGTCTACCTCACACAGTTATCTCAAAATTACTTTGAATTTCAAAAGAGATCAACTGGAGATTGAACGAACAGTCATATCGGCGCTGGTTACAATGTAACATAGTATACCGTACCAAGTAGTCTATGGTGCTATGCCAGACAGTCTGTGGTGCTATGCCAAGTTAGTATCGAACTGAATTCAGCCCGGAATTTACCACCATTAGACTCAAGCAACTGACATGTTGCTTGCATGACTGTCAGTAGTACCAACCATTTCTATCTTGCTGCAAGAACAGCTTTGATACACCTAATCTGCTAGGTCAATTGCTTTTGGCATATGACCCTGTAGTTGGCGTGGCAGTCGCTATGGCATCCATACCTTGCAGGTGCCACCACTGCCATGTCAATTCCACAGTACAGTTACAGATCTATGAGCCAGATTCTTCCTATGAAAGTAGTTCATTTTAAATAGTGTGCACATTGAAGACTACCTGTCCTTTTCTTCGAAAACAAAAAATATGTCATTTTTGGTTCAATTCTAAATAAAAATTTAAATATACCTGAGAAGAACCAAGTTCGTCCACGAAAGAATTCAGCTGTCTTGTGTTGAACATGCATTCACTCATATCGAGATTGACAATAGGACAAGTTCCAACCATTTCGCCAACATGTTTAACACCATCACGTATTGACACATTGTCACTGATGTTTAGTGTTTCAAACTGTAATCAAGAAAGTAAGTTTTTGAAATAAATCCAGGAAAAAGGGTGAACAAATGAACCTGATAATGCATGCTTCCTCTGATAAGCACAAGAACACAAATCATGACATTTTATAATAAAAAAGCTAAGGTTTTTGGTTATCCACAAATGTAGGCCACTTGCAGATATATAGTTGAATATATAAATCATATCGTAATATATTATAACATCCTACCTTATGCCCTTGTAAAGCTTTTCCCATCGATTCAACTTGATCTTCCGTCAGCTCACAACCGGATACATTTAGGTCTTTGACATTATGATTTTTTATCAGCAGTATTAAGTCTGATTTGTTCTCAAACTCCAAACATTCATTATAACTGATGTCAAAGGCACGAATCTTAAAAGAGACCATGGAAATAAATGTTTTTGTCAAATAAAATCAATCTTGGGCTTTTCTATGAATCTTTCCAAAACAACTCATATTATATTTGAAACAAAGGAATATAATAAGCAAGATAGTTTGGTGAGTTTTTTCTGAAAATTGTTTAGTAGCAGTATAATTTTAGTCGAGCGTTATACAATTTTGATCTGAAGAAGCTCAATATTTTTTTATACTCTGTCGAATAAATTATCAGATTATCATCAAAAAAACCTTTGCTTTTTCTGTGAAGCATATTTTATCCGCCCCTCATTGCCCTAAATATTTTCATTTGAGGTTGTGTGACTTCAAATTAGGTTTTGAATTTTGCAATATTTCTACTATAGTACAAGAACATTCTTTCAGATGTCTCATATTAGATCAGTGATTTTCAACCTTTCTGCTGGAGCGGAACCCCAATAAAACATTTCAGAGGCTCGTATACTCATTTATATATATATAAGCAAATCTATTCTAATACTGGAGAAACAAAATGATCTGTGAGTTGAATAAAAGTGGCAAACATAACAGGTATTTAGTTATATTCAAGCAGTATACATGTAAGGTAACAATGTAGAATCTCAGATTTGGAGTTAAACCAGCGGAGCCCACGGACAGTACTGGTGAAACTTTTCGTTACCATTGTTTTAGATCAGGGGTGTGCAACCTTTTTCGCAGGCGGGCCAAATATCAATATGGGTAAAACCGCGGGCCGCACCTTCATTTGACATGGGCTTTCTTTTAGTTGCAGGCACAAAATAGTGTCTTTTTGTTATTGATCTCATGTCGTCATCATTAGGGGTCCTTGCAGAAATTATGAGTAAAAACGAATAAATTTCTTAAAATTGTAATTCAAATGTATTGCCACACCCAATTTCAACGAATTCAGTGAGAAATTTGCTGCTGGATTGTTTTCCCGACTACTTTTATCCAAATTGGCTTAAATGGAGCAATTCGATATGACGCCCATTTAAAAAAAAATATGTAACCGAAAAGTTCCATATTTGAAGCCATGACGTTTTTCAAATGTGGAAAGTTATTTTGGTTGAGATGTTTTCGGTATAATACGCCAAGATTATTTCCAATTACTTTGCTGTCAAATCTTATTCTAGATTAGATTTAAACAAAATCAACTGATAGACTGAAACCAAAATTCATTTAGCTTCTGTATCTCTTAATGTTAAATATTTTCAAACTGCTATCCAGTTGCCTTATCATCAATTGCCCATTCTTACAAATTCATTAGCGACTGCTCGGCTGCTCCCCATTGTCCTCTAAATTGTTCGCTGCTCGGCAATTGACAGCTTTGTGAATCGTGTTGTTCGCTTCGCTGTTAGGACGCTGTATCGTCATGGGCATATATAATAAATTGGACTCGAATATAAGCATTGCAACGCAAAGGGAACCAGATCAAACTAAAAAAGAATTTTAGCTGACCGTACATCATTCAAAATTGGCACTTCTCCGCGGGCCGCACAATTTTCCCTCGCGGGCCGCACTTTGCACACCCCTGTTTTAGATGATAACAGTAATGATGTTTCTCACCGAAGTTCCAGATTGCAATGACTCCCGTAATGCATTGATTTTCTCATTGGTCAATTCGCATTCACTCAACCCAAGAAAATCAACATCATTCGTATGCAGCAAAGAAACGATGATTTTGAAACAAGAAGATGTCATTTCAGGATTGTAACTCAGATTCAGATGTTTTACCTAGAAATATCAGATTTAGTCGAAAGTGACACGCTTTATTTCATGATTGATATTCAAAAACATAGTATAAATATGTTTAATAAATAACAATACTATTGTATCTTGCCTTTCCCTCAAAAATATTTATGGTTAAAGATTTTAGGTTTTCTTCTATTATTCCACAATTCATCAGTCTCAATACTTCAATTGGTAATTTCTTCATAATATCAGCTAGCGAAGAAAAGTCTTGAATACTTGTGTTATGGCTGAGATCTAGCCCAATGAGTGTCTTCACCTAAATTAGTTGATAGAAAGTATGGTATGTTAAATGTGACTAATGGTATCTAAATAAACCAACCCTGAATTGAAAGTAGGATAGGATAGGATTTACATATTTATCCCGGGGAGAGGAAAGCCGATAAGACGGCCTATCCATATGGCGAACCACGGCCTCTCATCCGGTTATCATTCCAAGTCGGGTATGGGATTAGTTATACTGTATTGTTTGTTTTCAGAAGCATGGACTTGGTGGTGGAGGAAGCCATAACCGACCAGCAGTTACATGAACCACCTAACGACGGCAAAGAGTCCAGCAATCCTCTCGCACATAACCATCCCTGCATGGGATTCGAACCTGCGAACCCACGCAGAGTAAGTAGAGGTGCGGTGGCGAGCGTATTCCTAACACTCAGCCCGTTGAGTCACACCGCCGCGCCAGGTAACCTGAGCATTCAAGTGAGCCATGGGAACAATAGTACAAAAACATGATTACAATGGATTAATGGATAGCTGAGGTGCAATAAATAAGGTAGGTTTCGATTCACCAACCACATTCTCTAAATAAACCTATTACCTCATGAATTTCAATAATGACTTGATAATAAATTTATTTCATTAAATCTTACCAAGTTCGTATCATCAAGAGTCTGGGACAACTTTCTTAGAAACTCTTCTGAAATATCATTTTCACTCACGTTGAGTATTTTAGATTTGCAGTTTGATAAGATGTTGCAAATCGTAGGCAGTAGAGTGGATATGTTTTCTTCGCAGTTAACTGAAAACTCGTGTATCTATAATGTACAAAATTGAGGAAAATAAAGTATTAACTGTTTGTATGCTGTTTAAAGGCCCTTGAAACTAAAATGAAAAAACTAGTAAATGCCAATGGCCATATTAATTTCAGAGTACCAAATATTCAAATAAAAAATAGTAGGCTACTGAACCTGATGATTCATATTTTCGATAGTTTTTTTCTTCATATTTTTATCATTTAGACCAAAAAGTATATTTTGAAATCTCACATGGCAAAAAGAATTCTTGAAGTAAGAGAGAATGGTGTCTGTTGTCAGGTTTACATCACGCAATGCAAATTCTAATATACTAGATGAAATACTGATGACTTTTGAAACAAACTCAATTGTAGATTTTGTAACATTTGTATGAGCGATTTGAATCTCATTCCAATGTAGTAGTACATTTTGTTCTCGCCATTTTTCGATTATGTCATGAGGCGTTTCTACTCCATTAAGAAAATTTGACATGAGTTGCTCCACAGGTAAATCTAGAATAAATGAAAAAATTGAATAGATGAAATCTCAATCTATTTCCAGGAACTCAATAAGTAGGATACTAAAGTAGGAATCTCAACTTGAGCCATAAATGTAAGTAAAAAATTCAAAGGATTTCTCTTTTCAATTTGATGTAATTTTAAATATCATACATTTGTTATAAAAATTATAAAGTGATACTAGATGCCTTTGTCATGCACATAGGACCAATTAAAATATTTTTAAAACCAAACTAAAATATCACACAATTGGTATATACATTTTTTGATAAATTTGAAGGGTATATATATAATATATGTATGTGTGTGACTTATTCAGATTTCCCGTTCAACTTTTTAGTGTCACATCGCTTTTCTCGATTTGATATTGGCTATAAAATTCCGCTTATACCACCAGTTCTGAAAACTTCTGGTGGGGCATTAGGCACTTGACTTCAATTATATTCAGCTTAGCGATATCTTTTCAACAAATACTTTCTTTTCACTCTTGTTTACAAAATCGATATTCAATTTGACAACCGTTCCAAAATTATTAATAGGCAGGGCAAATAATTTTTTTTACTCATTTCATATATTAATTGTTTCTACTTACAATTCATAATCGTGAGTGAATATAATGATAGTTGATTTTGATATGCATTCTCACCTCCAGTTGTTTCCTTGGGCATCCTAACTTTTAAAGATGTGAAATCTCCAGTTTCTTTCAATGCAAGGTGGTGTCTTTGTAAATCTTGAGAATTGAATATTGCTTTATTCTTATGAATTCCTGTGTATACTAACATATTCAATTTTCCAAGAAGATCCTCCATATTCAAAATATTTTTCGACCCTATCATAACATCTGATATTGAGCTTGGCTTAAAATAGTCATCAGTTTTTATGCCAATGATGGAGTATGTCAAGAATACTGGAATGTTGCAAAGCGATGAGAGTGAAGTTGATTTCAGTTGTGAAATTTGCATTATTTCAATTCCATGTGTTCCCCCAAGATATCCCATAGCAATCATTTCAATAGAATCATGAGTCAAATCACAAAAAGCTATTATTTTCTGAGGCTCAGAATCATTTGAGTTGAAATATCTCTCAGATGTAATGACGCGGGCATGAGGAAACAACTTTTCATGAATCAGCTGCAACAAAATTTTCTTTCCACAAATACGGGTTTTATAATCCAAGATTTCAGGTACATCCAAAACAAATAGGCATTTTCCTGGTTGCTGTTTGATCATCTCTGATATGGATATCTTCTCCTCTTGATCAAGTTTGATATTTTGAAAAATAAGATCTTCTGGTGTCATGTTCCTTTTTGGATCAAGATTTTGATAACCCAAGAAAAACATGGGGCATACATCTGAAAGAGTTCGTATGTTTTCATTCATTACTACTTGATATATAATTTTAAGTAGAGTTGTTTTACCGAAACTTGCGAAATGACAAAATATTTGGTTTCACTAGAGCTGGTTGATATAAAAATTTACTTCAATATAATTTTTTAATGTTAATTCATTCAATTATTTCAACTTACCCCCTATATCCAGTTGATTGGGAGGATTCCATGGTGTTTTTTTTTAATTTCGTTTATTTTCATCTCCAAATTCTATTATTTTATGCATTGCTAATAATTGAAACTTTACCCTACATAGACTATATTTGAATTTCACTGCATATTAGCAAACATACAAAACATGTTATTCATAGTTCAGTTCAAACTTGATTTATGCTAAGTAATAAAGTTAGGGTAATCGAAAGTATACTGCTTATCAGAAATCAGATAATAAACAAAGCTACAACAAATTTATTTAAATTGTATAGTGCAATAGGATTTAACTGTTAATCTTTAGGTCAATTTCACAAAACATGTAGTAATCATTCCAACAATGTTGAACAACAATATTCCAACCAGGTTGAATTATAACTATCACAAAATGAAAAAACAAATTAACAGAATTTGATAAACTTGGGATTTGGCAATTGGCCTTCAAGATCTACGAACATGTTTCATAATACCAATAATTTTAATAATCTGAATTCTTTAAAACATTTTTCAGGAACAGAAATGTTAATATGGTGTAAATTACTTCAAACATTCAACAGATCATTTATATTTATCATACAGTTGTTTTTGACTTACAAGAAAACATATAGTTGCAGCTATAAATCACACGAAAATTTTATAACTCAATAGTAAAACACCTCATATTATAAATGTTGAAATAGATTTCCATTAGATAAATAATTTGATATAGTCAAGTCAAGTTTTAAATTAAAATATTATATTACCTGTGCATACAGTTTCCTCGGTATGACGCCAATAATACTTTTAATAAGTAACTCAATATTTACAAAACCGATGTACAAATATTGAAACGTTGACGAAAATCTACCTTCACATTAGGAATTTTACCCGGTGACAAGGGAGGTTTCACAACTTACAGTAACAATTCCTGGCGCATCAGAGTATCATTATTCCTATTTTCTCACGAAAATATACCTATCATATTTTTTCCTAAAATTTTTGAGTCATCATGAATATTAAACTGGGATGAACAAAACTTAATAATTTCCACCTAAATCTGTCTGAGGTGATATTCAATATATCCTGCTCAAAAGGACATATTGGATATAAACCATCACATGAAAAAGTTTAATGTTTACAATACATAAAAGTTTGTTCCTGAAATCAAGAATTCATCATAAATATCCGATTTACAAATCTTTGATATTTTATAATTCCAAAATAATACCTTTGCACACTAATTAACAGGAAATACAAATAAATCCACAAAATTACATACAACAAACAAAATGGAAATACTTAAGAGCGTTTGATAGTATCTTGCTATGCTTGAAAATACTTTTCAACTTTCTTCACATTTGTGAGATTGCAACAACAAATCCTTCAAAATTGGAAAAACCAAACCATACTCATTGGTGGTACCAACGAAGCTGAGTTAAGGACACTCCAAATCTAAACTGAGTAAAAGTCGTTTGAAAAACATATCCGAATGCGATTTCACACTCTTTGTTGACAGAATAAAGTGAATTACTCCAGGTTGGAATAAATTTCAATTTTTGTTCTGGGCAAACCAAATTTAACTTGATTTGATGTGTTTATGTTGATAGATTTTGATTTCAATTATCATCATTATTAGTCTGAAAATTCTGACTCGTTACTCCAATTGATTCAAAATTTGGCTCTGGCTTTAACTCCTGGTGGCTTCAAAATTTGACTTTGACTCCAGTATCAATGAAACAATGCCAGACTCCAAATACACATCCCTTCGTGCTTCGGTGGATCATTGTTAGGCTTACCATACTTCCCGCTTTAGTCGGGACAGTCCCGCTTTTTAGCGTCTTGTTCCACCGTCCAGACAAGTCAGCCAAATGTCCCGCTTCTGCGTTCAGCCATCCAGCATAATATACGAACATGTTCTCGTTACTGTTGTTTCTGTGTTGCACAACGCTAGCCTACTTACTGGAGGTGAATGCGTTCGTTTTCCGCTGATTCCCATTGATAGCAGACGTATCGCATGTAAAACCAATACCAATTAGTCTAAATTCGAATTATTTGTACCGGTATCGTTACCGTCAATTTCTTTCTATTTTCTAACTGAACCCGATATTTGGACAGAAGATATGCGCATGAAATTTCGATAACAACATGGTCAATAAAGACAGCTTTAAATGTAAGAATGTAGGCCTATGTAGTTAAATCGGAAAATGTAAAGTTACAAAATCACAGCTAAGGGGTCGTTGTCTTTTGAGGCATCCCGTCCCGCTTTAAAGTCACAAAAATATGGTAACCCTAATCATTGTTGATGTGTTCAGATATGACCAGTAGAGCAATAATATGAAAGATATAACCAATAAAGGTAGGTTATGTTAACCTCAACATTCGCTTCGAATCAAGATTAGTACAATCGTAACTGGGCTCTGTTTAGGAGACAAATGTAAAGTATGTGGTCAAGTTTACAGATTTGCTCTGTGCAAGCAATTACCGTACCTAAAATATGTAGTGCTCACTCCCATATTTGCTCTAGATCAGGGGTTCTCAAACTTTTTGTGTTGCGGAGCCCTTGAAAAAGTTGACTATTATTCACGGAGCCCCAAAATAAATGTTAAAATTGTTACTTTCCGAATAATATTCCTGAGTAAGTCAAAAGTACTGTACTTATTTTAAATGCTTAACCTCTTTTAATAGGGTTAATACAAGTCATAAATGAATCTAAATGTAAAAGATGAATTATATATACTAAAGCTGTAAACTTGATACTTGACAAACATATTAATAAATTAGGGGTTGGATCTTTTACCTTTAGATATTTTTGAAAGACTTAAAAGGCCGCTAATAACATACTCGATTGCATTTTGTTACGATCGCCGATTGTTTTCGTCAGCATGGCGGTGTTTATTCTCCCTAAATCAAAAATTTTCCTCGACATATACATGTATGATGTATTGTTCCACAATGACGACGAGTATTGCTTTTTTGTTCTTGTGGGGAATTATGAGTTCAATGTGAAAAACATGTTACCATATTATAGTCACCGGAGACGAAATGCTAAAAATAATAAATAATAAAAGGTAAATCCGCAACTCAAATTTCTTGATTGAAAAGCGGCATACTGAAATATTAAAACTAAAACTTAAAATGGGAGATAACACTATAAGTTTTGTTTTAGCAGACTCACGTCAGATTAAAAACACGTTCATAGACATTGTGAATCAAAAATTTGGTGTTATGTTGGGTTTTCTTTGGTTATTCGTCGTAGTAACTGCGAAACCGAAACACAGTCAATTGTGCGCGCGATGTACCTATTTTTCCATTCTGAAACTACCGACGAAGCCGCATGCAATGAAATAGATTTCAATCTTTCGTATTTTGCCCCGACCTCTTGTTTTTTAAACGGCGACATCTTGCTCGTGAGTGCGAAAGAACAAAATCAAGCTTGACAAATCCCAAGATCACAAAAATACGACTGCAATTTATGTATAGTTGGCAGTTTTTCGCGTATTTTATGTTATTTCAGAATAGTAGTCTTTCATTTCAGTAATCCTAATAGTAAAATTAGCCAATTCAGTATTTTAAAAAGTAATCGAATAGCTCGCGGAGCCCCTGGGTTTCTCTCACGGAGCCCTGGGGCTCCGTACGGAGCACTTTGAGAACCTATGCTCTAGATTATGCTCTGTACAAGCAACCAATCAACAATAAGCAGTGGCGGCGCGTGGTCATTTTGACAACCGGGGCAAGCTACTGCGGGACCAAGTCACCCCCATCTACGGGGACAGGATGAGCGCTGTAAGTTCTCCCATCATTATATGAGTATAAGAACCATTCCATCGGTAACAACCAATCGGCAAAAGCGACAAGTTTTAACGATAAGAAAGTGTCTTTAAAACCGGTCCAAGTCAAGGGATTAATAAATATAGACATAGTTTATTTTGAAACCTCTTTCAAAAGGGAAGGCAATATTTACCCAGATAAATACAATGACATATTAACAGAAACTTCGGGAAAGCAGACAAAACCTAAAATAAGGTTTAAATCGTTACTATGAAGAAAGGAAAGTTAATGCAAAGATAAGGACATGCGTCGCTCACTCATAGATATATATGCTGCTAGACTTCTACTGCTTGAACATATATGCAACACGCCGCGGTTTCTTGGAAGCAAAATGCTCAATAACGCGCTGATTGAAGTCATGCATCCCAGAAATAACGTTTCTGTGAATGGATAAAACAGCCAAGGAATTTAATCTATCTTGCTTCATTGTGTTTCTGAGATACGTTTTAATACGCTTCAGCGTGCTGAATGTTCGCTCTGCGTCGGCGGAAGAAATAGTAGTCGTCAAAATGAGGTCCAGAAATTTTGCAGACGCCGCAAAGGTAGTTACTAGAGTGTTATCTATGAGGAACCCATAGAGCGCGCAAGTTGATGTGATGTTCAAAAAAGTTTGATTGGTGTATATACATCGCAATTCATTTTCCAATTTACCCACGTTTATCATGGGGTAAAATTTGGAGACAGTAGCCAACAAATGGATGGGAAATTGACGTGCAAATTTTGAAAAACTTTTGGGGTTCATCAAAGAGAACGAGGCAAGGTGTTCAGTGCGCAGACAATCGCCTATTTGATTCACCAGAATGGCACAGCATTCCTTTGCAGACAAAATCAAACGCTGCGTTGTTTGCCCGCGGCGTAAAGAAGCACTCCATGTGTCGTCGTATTTTATTGTTTCCAGGATACGAGATACAGCATCGCAGAAGTCTGAAATACACGACTGCACAGACGCTCCGTCCATTAGCCTTGACTGCAATGCGCCGTATAATACATCCACATGATAGAATATTGTGGAGAAAAAAGCGGGAAAAAGTGAAAACTCACCATCTTCTAGCAGACGCTTTAGACCTGCCGCCTCCCTCACAGAGCGTTCGTCCCAAACCGGAGAGCTCTGAATGCCATTGAAACACTCAAAGAGCTCAGACCTAATTTCGGACACGCCCTGCACCACGCGTGATTGGAAGTTCCAACGTGTTGGTGCACAAGCTGGGAGACGGCGGCTACATATCTGGCGAAGGAGGTCAGAGCGCTTCGGCGAAACGAAAAAAAATGAAGAAAACCCCGAAACATTTGCAAAAAATATACGGACGAGAGGGGTATCAAGACACATATTTTTAA